GGGGTTTCACCATGTTAGCCAGGATGGTCTCGATCTCCTGACCTCGTGATCCACCCGCCTCTGGCCTCCCAAAGTGCTGGGATTACAGGCTTGAGCCACCGCGCCCAGCACTACCAGCCTTAAATAGAGATGTTGAGGATGCAGTTCAGTATAGGTGCAGGATCGAGGTCTGAGCTGGACATAGAAATTTGGAAACTGTCAGCATATCAATGATATTTAAAGCCATGGGAGTGGATAGTGAGTATAGATAGAGAATGCTGTTAAAGTCTGGAGTGATGGGGAGGACCTGCCAGTGAGGTAAGAAAGGGTGGTCTCCTGGAAGCTAAATGAAGAATGCCTATTAAGGAAAAGGAGAGTGATCAGTTGTATCAAATGCTGTTTAATGGGTCAAGAAAATGAAGATAAAGAATTGACTTAGCAACATGAAGTTACTCGTGATCTTGAGAATAGGAATTTCGATGGAATGGTGGGAATGAAAGCCTGATTGCAATGGGCTTAGGAGAGAAATTGGCCACAGTGAATACAATATAGCTAATACTTTTGCTGCTGAGAGTTTTGCTGCTAAGGGCGGCAAGGAAAAAGGATAGTATCTGTTAGGGAAAACAGTTCAGATTCTTTTAGGTTCGAAGAAATAATAGAGTTTGTTGTATGTCAGTTGGAGTGATGCCATATAGCGCAAAGCTGATGGTGCAGAGGTGAGAAGGGATGATTGCTGGAGGAATGTTCCTGCAATTGGGAGGATTTGGTGAGTCCAGGATTTGGTGAGGAGGGGTGGGATGTGATGCATATGTGAAAGGGTTGCCTTAGGAGCAGGGCCATCCATCTCTGATCTTGTGGTGAGGTGGATGTAGGCAGGGTTGCATGAATATCTATTCTTATAGAAGGTTAAGTGCTTATACTTCTCATTGTGGAAAGTTGGAGGGTATCATGTCTAGCTTTATATTAATAGATGGGAAAAATATATATACTGTGGTCTTTGGAGTTGTCCTGAATAAACAAACCTTTAAACACTTTCTGAACCGACAGATTCCAAGGAGGTAGGTCTGTGGCAGATCCACTATGGTAGTGTAGAGAGGAGGAAGGGCACAGGGTATTTTTGAAAATCAGTGTTTGACTTTGGAATACTTAAAGAAAAATTTGGTTTCCATACTATAATTGATTACGCTAAATTAAAATAAGCATTCTTTGTGCACATTTCTGTAGGTGGCAGGAAAAATACTACCTCTTTTTTTCCCATTTTATTTGTATAGAAGCCAATGGTATGGATATATCACAGTGTAAGTATTGCCCCACTGATGAACATTACATTTCATTCCTTCAAAAACTGTAGAGTCCTACCATGTAGCAGACGTTGTACTAGGCCCTCTGGTTATATAGTTATGAACAAAACAGATGAATTCTTATGGTGCTCACAGTCTTATATAGGGGTTATGATAATAAATTAAAAACAAAAGAAAACAGTGTATCAGGTTGTTTCATAATTTTTAAAAATAATG